ACCGTCTTCACTCACCCTGTTATAGTCCCCTGCCATTTCTACATACCTCAATTATCTAATGAGATAGGCTAAGATTCTTATTATAGAGTTGGGTCATTAATTAACGATAGTTAAATTGTTGACTAGTCAATCTAAATTGTATAATCTACTTTCAATATTAGATTGATGTAGTTATATCCCATTTCCAAACATATAAATTCGCTTTTTTGTGACACGGTGTAGTCATCATCATAAGGACGTCAGTCCTAAGACTGGTTGGACACGCTTCTCCACTGTTTCCTATCCTGAGCTAATCTTCGCATTTCCCTAAAACTAGAACAACCCATATCCTGAACTATTTGCGAACAGTAATCTAATCCAGGTCTACCTCTACCCCTCCTAACTCCCGTTTCTGCCTCTAATATGTCTCTGACTAGACCTTCTTGCCTGAAAAGGTGTCGTACTAACCTATCTCGCCTATTTCTTATTGACTTCTATAGAGTCCTCTGTTTTATTAGTCTTTCTAATACCTCTTCTAACCTTTTCTTTTCCGCCGCGCCCGCTGTCCATGTTTCGCACCTGTACAGTGCTGTGCTTCAAACATACACCTTTAACAACCTTTTTCGAATTTCTAAATTAACCGTTTGCGAACATAGAAGGGACTTCTTTTTATAGAAGGTGACACGACCCTGCACTATCCTCTGCTTTATATCCCTACTACTCCTTCCGTCCTGACTTATCTGACTTCCTAGATACCTAAATTTTTCGTCTCCTACCTTTATAAATAAATAAATTAATATATAAAATTCGCTTCTTTGTGACATGGTAGAAAATTCGCTTCTTCGATAAACTAATATTGAACTGAACCTTTGCAAACTCGTGCTGATGTTACAATTATTAAAAATAAAAGCAAATGAATACAGAGTGCAAATTCCAGGTGGGTACCAGTAACCAGAAGATCTCTTCTGTAATAGTAATTTTTCTTAACAGTATGACGTCGGAAATGCTTACAAAACAATTTCAATACATTAAAGACAATAAATAATTGAAAAGTTTGCGTGATGGTCTTAAAAGCTTATTATTACACCGTAAGTACAAAGGCGGTAGAATATCCGTTTGGCTACAACAAAAGTCAATTTAAAAATCGATTACGTACTATACTGCAAGAAAGAAAGTTTTCAGGTTTATGACTGCTACACGGTGCTCTAGAAGTGTTATAAAAGAATTATACAACGGACGATTCCTTCTAAGATTATAAACAGTAGGTATATATAATTTCCAAGATCAAACCAAGACTTTTTTTAATACTGGCAAGACCAAAATTAATACCAATACGAAAGTATCAGATTAAATGAACATAACCAAGACATAACACGAACAAAATCAAGACTAAAAGGATTTGAGCAAGACCAAGACGAGGACCGAATAAGCAGGAGTAATACCAAGACTGGGACAGTCCTGCTTGGATTATCACTAGTCAATACCGAATATTTAAAATAAAAAAAGAAATAAATGAATTTAATCGGCCAAAGCGAGTAATTTGTGAATATAAAGTTCGTGTACATCTACTTCAACCTGCAGAAGAAAAAAAAACATTTGGGTGTTTCATTCCCGCCAGTCAGTAATGCTGGTGGGCGGGCAGTCCCTCTGGACTACGCCGGAAGGTAGGGCGGAAGGCCCTTTTCAACCTCCGTTCAGGAATCGTGAGAATGGGTGGGTGGTGGTTCGGGTGAGAAAGATGAGACGGACGAAATGAAGACAGAAGAGAATGAAAGATTATCTGGGGAATATTACTGCCCCAGTATTTGCCCAAGTGACCAAGGCATACAGAGCTGGAATCGAACCGGCGTGTAAACCTCTAGGTCATGTCACTCGGTCCTACAGAAGACGTTGTCTGTATCTTAACAGACAGCGATGGTTTCCGTTCTTCTACATGCAGCAATGAAGGCGAAGTCGGTTAATTATTAACTGGTCTTGTATGAGCTAGTTTAGAGACTAAAAGCTACACATAAAATAATAAGCTTTTGAACAACACGCCACTGGGGTTCGCACATCCGACAGAAACCGTGCCAACCTAGGATAACACAAGGCTTAATACAGACTGTGTTTTAAACGCTATCCATGGAGATTTGCGACTATTAGAATCGCGATCCTTGTCTAAGTTTAGACGGAAGGTTAACCAAGAAGCAAGAACTTAATGTTCTGTTAGTGTAGGCGTGCCTTATCACGTAAATATCTAAGCCCTGGATTGAGATTAAAACGCGTTAATTAAGAAGAACTTTTATAAAAATAATAAACCCATAAGTACTGGCAAATTGTCACAGATGGTGTTTAGTAGAAACTATGATACATATTATATCTTAAGATAACAAGGTGTAATAAAATATAAAAACGATTTATCTCTTGAACCACCAACGCTTCTTAAATGATTTCTATTGATTATAATAATAAATTAACATTTGAATTGAGTGCCGATCCGACGGTACTTGAACCTTGACGAAACCCTTGTACAAACTAGGGGGGGGGGTTCTTAAAACGAAACCAGACTAAGACAAGTCCTCAGGGTGGCAGAGATCACGAGGATCGGTATGGCACTCTGATGTACAATAGTGAGATGTGGAAGGCAACGGGAACCACCACATTATGATCCCGAGAAGAACGTGTCACACAATTAAATGACGGCGTCCTCTGGAGTAAAGCACTTCGGACGTAAACTAGTCCCCTATTCGGATGTCCGGGCGGGGATTACCTCGGGGGATGTCATCAATCAGTGCAATATGGGTAGGTGCAATATTTCACACGGAATTGAGTGCATTTTCTTTCATAATGGAACATACATATGTATGTCATGCTAAATATTCAGATGACGGGTTAGTGTCCTTCAGTTTCTGTCGAGAATTATAAAACGTCTCCGTTCAATTAAAACTTCTGTTGGACTTCAATTTCAGTTCATGTAACATAAATGGTAGTTCTCTAGTTTTATAGCAAAAGTTAAATGCCTAGAAAATAATTTCAACATTCAAGCTTATATTTATGTATCTACCTACCTTCCTGGTCATAATTTAAGAAAGAGATTCACATAGAGGTTGTAAATACACAGGATGACGTTAGAAAAAGTACTTATCTCTATGTATATATAAGAGATTTATTTAGTGTTTGGAATGAAATTATTTAATTTTCACCAAGAAGATGTCAACACAATTAAATTCACCATCAATGGAGCATTTTTGAGTCGTTAAAGAAACATTTTGTTAATTTTATAGTGGTTTTACTTTGGTACATATCAAAAAATTACTTAAAAATGCTGTTAAGATAGGTATGCTTTATTAACCGACGAAAAAAAGGAGGTGGTTCTCAAGTCGACGCGTACATCTTTTTTTTTATGTATGACCACGCATAAATTTTTACAGAGTAGTCCGATTTTAATAATTCTTTTTTTATTGGAAAGTATATACGCGGATGTTGGTCCCTTATAAATTTGGAAAAGAAAATTCCAACCCTAAGGGCAGGAGTAGGAAAACAGGGGATGATCGTTGGTTGTTGTTCACTCACTGGTTGTAATGTATAACCATGAATAACTTTTGACAGAATAGTCCGGTTATGATAATTCTTTTTTTATTGGAAAGGGTGTACCCGGAAGTTGGTCCCACAGAAACTTGCAAAAACAAATTCCAACCCTAAGGGTAGGAAAACTGGGGATGATATTGTTGATTGTTTTCACTCACTGATTGTAATGTATAACCATGAGTAACTTTTGACAGAATAGTCCGGTTATGATAATTCTTTTTTTTTATTGGAAAGGGTACACCCCGAAGTTAGTCCCATACAAAATTGGAAAAAAATGCCAACCCTAAGAACAGGGTAACAGGGGATGATTTATAGTAGGAAAATAATAACAGTGGTAGTAGTAGTAGTAGTAATTAGTAGATTATAGCAATGAAAAGCCATAAAATAAAAACTTTAACGAAAAAATTAAACCACCGAAAAAATNCAGAAAGGTTAATGCTAAATGAAGATAACTTTTAAATGCCAAGATTAATAAAAGCTTACCCTAAAATAAGCATCTGTTGCAAATAGCGTTGTAAATAAGCGGAACAATTACTTGGAAACACGATTTTAATTATTACAGAGATAAATTGTGATAGATAGTGTTCAGTAAAGAAACATTTCAATACAAAAAACTGTCAAATTCGTATCACAAAACGATCAATTCAATTAGTCAGACAGTGGCCAACAAAGTGTTTAAAAGTGAGTCCTTCGCTTTCTTACATTTGCAATTTATTTATTGATTTATTGCAAAAACTATACGTAATTTTGTATGCAAAATATGCAAATTAGAAAGGAATTCGTATCAATGAGTCAGAAAAGGAAGTAAATTCAACTTAAATATTAATTACACCACCACTTACATTATAATTTAACATGAACGTCAATTATTTCCATTTAACTACTATAATATTTTTCGAAATTTTATTTTTCTTTTCTTGCAGTAATTATTCCTCTCTGTTAGTATTTCTGCAAATCATTTAGTAGCAATATAATTACCTAGACAAAACTAATCAGTGTGATCAACTTAACACCGGTATTTTGAAATACAAATACAGATACCTAAGTAATTTTGAGTCGTCGCTAGAGAATCAATAAACATAGATCTGTAAATTACCTTAAATTTAAAGAAATGACCAAATCAAATTAACAATGCAATGGTTATTTCTTTAAATTTAAGGCAATTTGGTGATCTTTGTTTATTGATTGTTTAGCGCCGTCTCAAAATTACTTAAGTATACTTACATTAGTTAAAGAACTGAGTTATTAAGGTTAATAAAATAAAGGTTTATTATGTTCTACTTTTCAGTTTTTTCAGCGGTTTAATTTTTTTGTTAAAAAGTTTCTATTTTTATAAACTATTCTAGACTGTTGTTTAATTGAAAACTTATGTGTTACGCTCCTGCTGTAGTGTACCACGTCGTTCGTCGCGTCGTCATTATTCACTGCTTCTGTTGCCGAGAGGGACGCTTTCTGGCATGAGTGAGAGGAACTTTTGCACCAGAAGAACCTTTTGCAAAGGGTAGGGTGAACGAACTTATAAATGCAATTATTCTTTCTCACGATCTAATAAAAACCAATCGTTCGCGTCTCCCGTTCAAATAAAGCCAGCCGGCAAACGAGATCGTGCTGTCGTATTTTTAAAAATTCAAATTAAAATTCTGAAAGATCGCGCGAGAATACCAAACGAAAGACATTTTTGCGTCTCACACAATACGTAAAAGTTGCAATGGTGGTGTCGTGCGCAGCAATTATTTTGCTTGTGATCGGTCAGTTGTACGGACAGTTGGTCCACGGTGGAATTGACCAAACAACAGGTCAACAGTATATTTCATCCCAAGACATCAATTTGCAAATTTTGCAACAGCAAGGCGTAAGGACGCAAGCGAAACCGGTGGAGGAAAACGCCAATGATCCTAATAATGCTCAACCGCGTGTCTTAACGCCAAGGGTGCAGCTACTACTACCAACGGCGGCAGACAAACAGGTACAGAATCATTTTAAATTTAAAGAAGCAATTTAAATGCAAGGCAAGGACGAGTTTGAATTTTTTCGTTTGTCCAATTTTCGTTAGCTCAAGGAAAAAAAAAGAATAAAACCTGTGCAAATCTGATTAAGTAACAAACGTTTAGTTGTATCCCATGGGAATTTTCATTCTGTTAGTCTTAAAATAATTTCTATATGCGCCAAGAGTTTCTATAGTAATTTACAAGAAGACGAAGAAATTTTTTTTTGTTCATGTTTATTATTATTCAAAAATAAGTAGGTACATTTATCTAAGAGTAATAAAATAAAGGGATTTTTGAAGATCATGCGAAAATACCTATAGGCACTAAGTTTCATAAATACCTTTATAATTATTGTTTGGAGAACGACTTCGTGTGTGCGCAAAATGTGGAAAATGGATGCGACGGAAAAGAAAAAGTTACAAGCAATTGAGTCGTGTTAAAAATGCCGTGAATAGAATTGTTAGGAATGAGGGGATACTGAAAAAAGATGGTGTTGTATGAAAGTAAATAAGGGAAACGAAAGATAAGATGTAAAACATGTCCGAAGAATGAATTAGATACATATTAGAAACAAAAACAGGTGTAAATACGATATAGATTTAGGATATTCTAGTTTTTAAAAAATGCAAAGATTGTCTCTGGTTAGGAATGAATTAGCTTGCCTTCGACAGTATTCATAATCTTCTTCTGCCTAATATAAACGCATCGAAAAGCTCCTTTATTATCATTGATATTTGATCAACCGTTTTCCGAATAATTCTACAAAAAGGAATACATGTCCGATGTCCTTTAAATTTATAATCCGGGTTATGTATACCTGACGAAACCTTAATACGTAAAGTGGTAGTCTCCCTTTTTTCAATGATGTCGTTCTCATTATTGAGGATTTAGCGTGATTAGCTCCACTTGTCTGGATGCTTGTTATGCCTTGATAGGATCTACTACATCATCATTGAACAACCTTTCTCTTTTGTATGTGAAAAACTAGCATACGCATGAATATTCATAACCTGCACGTCAGGACGATCCAACCATTCCTCTAATCATAAACTACAGGTATTTTAAGTAGGAAGAGCATGCACAGTAATCAATAGGCATATCGATTTTTCTAGTAAAATATTCGCTAACTAACAATAGTATTTTAAACAATAAACGACGTGTTTCTAAATTACCAGCCTAAAGTGATTCCAAATCCGAAAGGTTCAAGGATCATTGAGAAATAATGTCTCTCATACATTAATGATTGTAGAATTTTCTAAATAAATGCATATATACTGAAGATTTTTGAAACCTTTATTCCTTACTGCATCATCAAAAAATACCTTTAGCCGATTTATGAATTGGATACGTATAAATCTCCCAAACTTTCTTATCTTCTCTCTTCCCCCAGGAAACTAATTCTCTACTAAAGTGACCACAGAAAGGTTAATGCTAAATGAAGATAACTTTTAAATGCCAAGATTAATAAAAGCTTACCCTAAAATAAGCATCTGTTGCAAATAGCGTTGTAAATAAGCGGAACAATTACTTGGAAACACGATTTTAATTATTACAGAGATAAATTGTGATAGATAGTGTTCAGTAAAGAAACATTTCAATACAAAAAACTGTCAAATTCGTATCACAAAACGATCAATTCAATTAGTCAGACAGTGGCCAACAAAGTGTTTAAAAGTGAGTCCTTCGCTTTCTTACATTTGCAATTTATTTATTGATTTATTGCAAAAACTATACGTAATTTTGTATACAAAATATGCAAATTAGAAAGGAATTCGTATCAATGAGTCAGAAAAGGAAGTAAATTCAACTTAAATATTAATTACACCACCACTTACATTATAATTTAACATGAACGTCAATTATTTCCATTTAACTACTATAATATTTTTCGAAATTTTATTTTTCTTTTCTTGCAGTAATTATTCCTCTCTGTTAGTATTTCTGCAAATCATTTAGTAGCAATATAATTACCTAGACAAAACTAATCAGTGTGATCAACTTAACACCGGTATTTTGAAATACAAATACAGTGTAAACTCTATATAACGACACTTAAGGGACTGAACATTTTTCGGCGTTATAAAGAGTGGTCGTTAAATGGAGAGAAATAAAAGATATTATTTTACTATTCTATAATAATGTGCATTTACTAATATAGTACACATTTTGCACACGAACATTATTATTCATACATTGCGTATAGCCTGTTATCTTCGTCTGATGTTTTTTGCTGCTCCAATATTTTTATTGTATTTTGTTACGTATCTTACTCATATCTTGAGATATTGCTGGATCAATTTGATTATATAAAAAGTATTTTTTTAATAGTTTCGCTGCATCAAGAGCTTGTTTGATGCTTGGTGGAGGGACAGGATCGTCTTCTTCAACAACGTACACAGCTGCAGTTCTTATCTATTTCGGCAACTTAGAAAGTACTGCTCAATGATTACATAGAGTGAGCGTGACGCTATATAGAGTGTAATATTGTATAGAAAACAATGTAAACCAACCAAAGTCAAGCAATTTCGATGTTTTAAGGAGTTTGTCGTTAAATCGAGTGACGTTATAAAGAGTTTACACTGTAGTTTACATAACCTTAAAATAATTTGATTTTGATTATTAAATGATGATTAGTGGCCGCTGCAATTCCTATCTGGCATCTCTGTTCTATGTTTACGATATTCCCTAGAACATCTGTCGTGAGTAAAGATAGGAGTTCTGTCAGCAACCGCTCTAGTCTAGCAAGAATGTAAATGTGACAGTTTTATTGCGGCTTATGTCAATTTTGAACGTCTCAACTATATCCATTCCTTTTCAGGTTCAGAAGGCTGCAGCTTATATCGCAGGTCCGCAGTTTGCACAAGAAATACAGTTGGCTCAGCAAGCAGCTCAAGCCGCAGATGCCCAAGCAGCCGCGCAAAGACGTGCGCAGACACAGGCTCTTCGCCAAAGTCAACAATATCAGGCCGCATCACAACCGCAATACGTGCAGGCGCAGTATGCAGAACCTCAACAGTACAGTCCATCTCAATACGCTTCAACAAATATAGATCCTCAATATGTCAGAGAACCAACACAATCGATCCAGCAAAGACCCCAAGAAGAAGCAGAAGATTATGATGTAAGAATTTTAAACATTTTTTAAAATTAATAGTAATGATAGGTATCTATTGCGTACACAACCGAGCGGCATGGCCTAGAGGTTTAGACCATTGCTTAGCATTCGGGAGGACGCCGGTTCGATTCCGGGTCCGTCTGCCTTGGTCCAAGTTTTTCTGTGATTTCCTTGGATCACATAGGCAAATGCTGGGGCAGTAATATTCCACAGATAATCTTTCACTCTCTTCTGTCTTCATTTCGTCCGTCTCATCTTTCTCACCCGAACCACCACCCACCCATTCCCACGATTCCTGAAAGGAGGCTGAAGAGGGCCTTCCGCCCTACCTTCCGGCATGGTCCGGAGGGACTGCCCGCCCACCAGCATTACTGGCTGGTAGGAATGAAACACTCAAGTTTTTTTTTTTTGCGTACACAAAATATGAAAATAGATGCTAATGAATTAACATTCGCAAGTGGTCCCGGTAAATAATTAAAAATTGATTTAATAATAATTTGCCATTGAAAAGTTTGTTTTTATATTTGATCCCTACTCAAAATATTGCAATATTAGATGAAATCATTAATTCGCACGTAATATAATAAGTATCAGAAGGAAAAATCTGGATTTTGCAACTACCTGTTCCTTAAAACCGAAGGACTAATACTTGACAAATTTTGACTTTCGATAGTAATAATTTTTCATATGTAGACAAACGTTTCGATCGGGTTTTACCTATATTAAAATTTTCTTCCTACCAAGGTGTATGTATATTATAAAACAGAATAATTTTCCGTTTTTTATTTGAATATATAGCCTACAGGTTCTTTGATCACTAATGCAGTACTCAAAAATTCCCTTTTTGAAGTCTTATAGGCATCAAGTACCTGGTTTTCTCTTCAAGCAACATCCTCTCTAAATTACTCGTTCCTACACGTACTTTAAATTCTTTAAGAGACTTTCAAACAAACGGATCAGCGTGTTAAATAGAATCAAAGTCCAGCATGCAAATTGATTACTTTGCAGAATATATATCGAAACTGTTGGTAACTTTTAGTAATATTTGTTACAATAGGAGGAGCATGAAAGGTTACTGTTAAAGCAGGTAAAATGTTTTAATTAACCTAACACCTAACTTGGACAAACCTTTTAAGAAGAATCGACGATTCAATGATAGAATGCCGCAGGCGATGCAATACTTTGTTCTCCTTAATTTATGTTAAGGATAACAAAAAGGTCCAATTTTGATCACACCCGATACATTTGCATGTAAGCTCATCTGCCGGTCAATTTTCCGAATCCATCTTTACGAGCCAGTATTTTCCTCAACATTAATGAGTATAGATGTTACCGGAAATATATGAAATTGGTCATTGTATACAATTCCTAGGAAATGTATATAATTCCTAAAATCGTCCGGAAGTGTGTGAAATAAATTATATGAGACACATTACCTAGGAAATCTGTACATATCCTAAATAGCAATCGGAAATGTATTACATCATTGTTTGGTTAGAGAAATTTATGACAGACAGTCAATAACGTCACTAATGCATATGTATCTCTAAACCTAACCTAACCAAACAATAACGTCACCAATGCATATACATCAGGCGATGCACTAGAACCGCATAAACACAGATAACTCATGATTCTCAGTTTGCTAATGTGTTTTATTCATTTTATTCACAGAAATCATTAGTTTTTTACATTCCCTAGTACAATATCGGAATTTCATACAATTCCTAGGAAAAGTATACATTTCCCAGGATATGTGTGTATTAAAAAATCTTTGAAACAATATTTTATAGATTTCCTAAATAGTCTTGGAATTGTATACATTTCCTAGGAATAGTATACAACCCTAAACAAAAATTTTCAGTCTCTCTCCACTCTCTCAGAGTCTTTCAGCGTCTCTCACAGTCTTTCACAGTCTCTCATTTACTGCCTAGGTATTTTTATGGATCTCTCACAGTCTCTGTATGAGAGACTAGAACGATAAAATTGTTAATTCAGAGATTCGAGTCTCTCACAGAGAGACTGAATGAATAAAACTGAAAAAAAAATTTTAACCATGTCTATCGAGACACCACTTATTGAGACATTCGAGTCTCTCGTTCAGAGACGCTAAGCAGTTTTTTTGACAGTCTCTATTAGCGACACCAGAGAGACTCAGTGAGAGACGGAGACTCGAGTCTCACTTTCAGAGACTCTGAGAGACTGAATATTTTTATCTCGGAAATTCCTAGATTTCATACATTTCATAGACCCAAAACTTGTGAAGCGTTTTTTTTATAAGCTATATGTATATTTTCCCATACCTATAGTGACATGACCTGTCTTGGTTGTATAGATGTGTTTTAACCTACTTTCCGTCTGACTTCAGTTTGTAATACGTATAATAGTACCTACTAGACGTTATATGAACTAAAAACTAATGCCTGGGCTTCATCTAGGTCTCGCGATCCTTGTTTGAGTCTTTTGCATTCCAATTAAAACTTTCAGCGGCAATTAATTATCATAATAATTATAATGCACCTACCGCGTCGAAGAAAACTTCGGATAAAGCATTAAAAATACGCGACCGCAGTCGTAACCTGGAAATTTTAAGGGTTGGGACAAGAGGACAGGCAATTTGACCTTAGCGATAGAGAAATCTTTCTGTCTGTCTCTCTCTTTTCTGCACTTCCGTAACTGTTCGAATTAACCAAGCGTTAGTAACATTAATACTTTATAGTAATAATGAGATTCGTTAATATGCACTCGCCGGCGTGAAAATGCCTCTGAGGGAATAATCTTACTTGCGGATTGTATAACTGCATATGTACCGACTAACTTCCGTTAAAACATCTCATTAAAATGCTCACGTTTGAGATGGCAAGATGAAAACATAAACGGTTCTTTTTGGCCAGGCAGAAACGAATTGGTACATAAGTCATCTCGCCCTAAAATAAATAATGAAGCCGCGTGTCACCAGTGGTGGTGGTTTTTGAGGATTGCAAAACAAATTTCTTTAATAGTCCATTCATTGTTTTTGAACAACATAATACTAGGGTCAATTGAAAAGTCCCCGGCCTGACACATAGATGGCGGCACCAGAACTAAATCCATATGATTTTCAGTTAGTCCTAACCTTCAAAAGACGCGTCTATAAATTTGACGGCTGTCGGATCATTAGTTTGTGAATTATAGCATTTTTAGTGAAGCAACTTTTGTTATTGTGAAAAAAATGGATAAAAAGGAATTTCGCGTGTTGATAAAATATTGCTTTTTGAAGGGAAAAAATACAGTTGAAGCAAAAACTTGGCTTGATAACGAATTTCCGGACACTGCCCCAGGAAAATCAACCATCAAGGATTGGTATGCTAAGTTTAGACGTGGTGAAATGAGCACCGAAGACGGTGAACGCAGTGGACGCCCAAAAGAGGCTGTTACGGACGAAAACATTAAAAAAATCCACAAAATGATTTTGAATGACCGTAAATTGAAATTGAATGAAATAGCAGACACTCTACAGATATCAACGGAACGTATACATCACATCATTCACGAATATTTGGGTATGAGAAAGCTCTGTGCAAAGTGGGTGCCGCGCGAGCTCACTTTTGACCAAAAACAACGACGAGTTGATGATTCAGAGCAGTGTTTGAAGATGATCACGCGTAATAAACCCGAGTTTTTGCGTCGATATGTGACAATGGATGAAACATGGCTCCATCATTTCACTCCGAAGTCCAATCGACAGTCATCGGAGTGGACTGCACACGATGAACCCGCTCCAAAGCGTGCAAAAACGCAACAGTCGGCTGGCAAGGTTATGGCGTCTGTATTTTGGGATGCGCGTGGAATAATTTTCATTGACTACCTTGAAAAAGGAAGGACCATCAACAGCGACTATTACATAGCGTTATTGGACCGTTTGAAGGACGAAATCGCCGAGAAACGACCGCATTTGCAGAAAAAGAAAGTCCTGCTTCACCAAGACAATGCACCGTCTCACAAGTCAGTGAAAACGATGGCAAAAATTCATGAATTGGGCTTCGAATTGCTTCCGCATCCACCGTATTCTCCAGATCTGGCCCCCAGCGACTACTTCCTGTTCTCAGATCTCAAAAGAATGCTCGTTGGGAAAAAATTTTCGTCGAATGAAGAGGTGATCGCCGAAACTGAGGCCTATTTTGAAGCAAAGGACAAATCGTACTACAAAAATGGTATCGAAAAGTTGGAGGATCGCTATAATCAGTGTATCACCCTTGAAGGGAATTATGTTGAATAAAAAAAACGAATTTTGCAAAAAAAATGTGTTTTACTATTTTAGGCCGGGAACTTTTCAATTGACCTGTTATAAGTATAATAGAACTAGCGACCTGCACCAGCTTCGCACGGGTGTAATGCTGAAACTAAATATATTTTTGTTTTGTTTAGATTATTATCGAGAGGGTAAATCTTAAATAGACAACCCCTTAACACATTAAATATACTACAGAATGTCTTTATATACAACATTCACAGTTTTTTTGTCATTAGACAGTATAAACCGGCTTCCCGGTCGGTTCCGCCGCAATTGCTATGTTTGCATTTTAAATCTGTAATAACTTCGAAAATATTCATTTTTTCATGCTATAAAGGGCCATATTGATCTACATTAATGCACAATGTATTTAAGGTACTTAATTGGATAAATATTAATGCCGTGTTGCTTAAAATCGTTTAGTAAGTAAGTTATTATTTCTCATAAAATGTAAAGGATAAAAAATTGTTATTGTGGGTTATCCCTAAGAGATAGACATATACCATCCTGGACTTTTTTGTAGACCTTTTTAAGATGTACAATACATTAGTACATTATTTTGATCTATCTCGTAGGGTTCAGCCAGCGTTTGCAATGTAAGCGCAAAAAATGTGTTTTACGACATCACATTGGAAATCTCTAAAATTATCAGTGTTTCTCTACTATATTATGCATGTATTATAGATATAAACCTTCCTCGTGAATCACTCTATCCACTAAAAAAAAACCGCATCAAAATCCGTTACGTAGATTTAAAGATCTAAGCATACATAGGGACAGACAGCGGGAAGCGACTTTGTTTAATACTACTATATATAGTGATACCCCAAACGATTTCAAAAAGAGCGATGATGGTAATGTAGAAACCATAGACTAAAAATAGATAGCTAGAAACCATTGTATGACACAAATGGATTAGGCCTAATTGTCATAATTGTTTCAAAAATGTGTTCAATTCTGACTATCATTAAAACAAGGCAAACCAGTAACAATTTAATCTTAAAATAATGAGGATATATATCTGAAGTAAATACACACAACAGATTGAATCAAAATTGAGGCGCCGCCACTGACTGTTACCGTTTATATCTTCAATGCAAAGAAAAGATTAGCATCAGGGAACGTAATAGTCAGGAAGAAATGTAAAAAGAAAGCTGTAAAGCAACTGCAGTAAATATGTATAAGGAATACGCTTTTATTTCAAAATTTAGCTAAAACTCAAGAGACTTTTTACTGATATAATGTGAATTATATAAATAAATCTTTTGCGCACTTATTTGATCCTTACAGATTTCCTTTTCGTACTTTAAACTCAGTCTCTCTTATTCACATCATCTGTCTTCCTGTTAGTTTCACTCTATTAGATTTTAGATATAAAAGGGAAAATGTGGTGTAACTTGGAGCGCTTTTTCGTGTTAACCTTTTATCTAAATATCGAGATTGTGGAATCCCATAATGTGTATTGAAGATAATAAATTTAATTTCTGAAAATACAGTTGGCACGCTTTTAATATTTTTGCCACAAATAACGGAAACGAACAAGTGAAAACACTAAAGAATTTTTTATATGCAATGGTAAGGCAGTAGAGATTCTGGTATAAACTTCTTTAACAGTTTTGTAACAGTTTATTCGGTAAAGACATATAACAAAGAACAGATAGGGTTAAGTGCATGGTTGGAGCACGCCTTTGTCCGGGTGCCAAACATGGTCGATGGACGTGAAAAAAAGTTAACCTTTGAGAATTGGGATCCGTCAAATGGGCATACATCATCTGGTGGCAAAATTTATAACTCGAATGGGGAAAAAATTTACATAGGAACTATGCACGCAAATTGTAAAATTGATTATTAAAATAATAAAACACGTTAAAAAAGTAAAAAATTTTTTGATGATGGAGTCGACGAAGTTTTCTTCTAAAGTTAAATCAAATAAAAAGTTAATATGTTCAGTGAAAAGCTGCAATAGCACTTCAGACATAGATCTTCACTCTTCACCTACATTAACTACTTTCCAATAAAAACTAACCGTTTTATATATGTAAAAAATATATTCGGAAAATTAGAGAAAAAAGTAAACTAATAGAAGCTTGGATGAAAGCAGTAGGTATCAAAGAAGTGAATTCCGGAATAAAAATTTGTTCACGTCATTTTAATGCACATGATTATATTTCAGCAAGTATTTACCATCAGCCATAACCTTAATATTTAAAACTAGAATCATACTAAAATTATAAAGTGAGAAATTATTTATTCCTGTGTAATTGATTTAACACAATTCTAATGATACGATATAAGTATTTTGAGGTTAAGAACCTACCTGCTGCAATACAACAAAGTTGCAATAATGTGTTTGCAACGTTCTCTTAAATCGGCTTTGCACGTGCAAGTCATTGATATGATATTGCTTAAATCACCCAGAATCACCTCACCAATTATATAACGTTTGTAAAACGTAGGTAGTAAAGTTGATAGAATTTGAACCCAGCTTCCGGATTTGTTATTTCCGAATTTTATAATGTGATTGACATTAAAAACACGTTCACCTTCAATGAAATTTCATTTCCGAGGCTTTGTGTCAGCCCAATCACATATTGTGTCAATACTTATCATTTTATCGTAATTTAAAAACTTGGAAATTGCACGGTACACTATAGGAACTACGATAAACTTTCCCTAATCGGCGCCATGTTTTTAGGCTCCTCTCATTTGACGGATCCCAATAGTATCAAAATACTTACGAATGTACACATATGGGTTTAAAGAAATGGAAAGATTTTCCCAGAATAGAGAATGAGTAGGGGTACATGTCCAATTAATGTTTGAACTAAAGATCTTATGATGAACATGATGTTAATCAATTTATGTTTTTATTTTATTTCAACTAAATGATTAAGCCCTTGGCTGAAAATGAGAAAAGACCCTGTCGCCCTTATTTTCGTTAAATATTCGGGTTTTACTCTAACTTAGCATATCTAGGTTTTTATGAATTTTTATTTTCAATTTGTATTTTCTTTGTTTGAGCACAATTCTTCAATATTATCTTTTATAGGGTCAAAATCTTAATAACGAAGCATCCTGTAGTATCAGCTCCCAAAATGTGTTGCTTTCCTTTAATATTTCCTTTCTTGTATTAGTAAACAAGTTATTAATTTCAGCCAAATCCATCCTATCAGTTCGGCTTCTATGTAAAAGACGACGTCAACACGAATTATCAAAACAGGAAGGAACAGAGGGAAGGAAACACAATATCTGGAAGCTATTCTGTCGTTGACTCCGACGGCTTCCTTCGAACTGTAAAGTATACAGCACACCCGAAGGAAGGATTTAAGGCAGAGGTAAGCGTTCTGTTATTATCCAACTTAGTAATTAGAAGGTGAAACATCATATAGGTAATAAGAATACGCATCATCTTGTAACTTTATTTTCAGTAGTTCTACAGGTAAATCTACATGTAGGTAATTGTCCAAAATTGGGGCTCTAGACCAAAATCGCTCCAAAAATCTTTTCATCCACTTCTGGTCATTTCTGATTCTTCTTGCAGTGACAATCGTGAGATAAGGAGATTAAAAGCTTGTATAACTTTTAACAGCCCCCCTTCCGCCCCTGATCTCCTCACCCATCTCTTCCTGTACCTACAGTTTACAACTGTGATTTCATCATCATCATAAGGTGGTCAGTCCTACGACTGGTTGGACACGTACCTCCACTCTTTCCTATCCTGAGCTAAACTTCGCATTTCCCTAAAACTAGAACAGCCCACATCCTTAACTATTTGCGAACAGTAATCTAATCTAGGTCTACCTCTACCCCTCCTAACTCCTGTTTCTGCCTCTAATATGTCTCTGACTAGACCTTCATGCCTGAGAAGGTGTCCTACCAACCTATCTCGCCTATTTTTTATTGACTTCCATAGAGTCCTCTGTTCTCCTATTCTTTCCAATACCTCTTCATTTCTAACCTTTTCTACCCACGATATCCTCATCATCCGCCTATAACACCACATTTCGAACGCTTCTAACCTTTTCTTTTCCGCCGCTCCCACTGTCCATGTTTCGCACCCGTACAACGCCGTGCTCCAAACATACACCTTTAACAACCTTTTTCGAATTTCTAAATTAACCGTTCGCGAGCATAGAAGTGACTTCTTTTTATTAAAGGCGACACGACCCTGCGCTATCCTCTGCTTTATATCCCTACTACTCCTTCCATCCTCACTTATCTGACTTCCTAGGTATCTAAAATCAGCCACTTCTTCTAATTTTTCGTCTCCTATCTTTATATTCGCTCTTTCCCTATTTTTTCTTCCCTTGCATACCAGTATTTTAGTTTTACTTTTATTTATTTTCATACAGTACTGATCTGTCAGTACCGCTTCCATTTTATTTAAAGCTATCTCTAGGTCCTGTGATTTGAATTTAGAAAAATTATCATTCAAAAAAATTTCTCCACCCACCCTTCTGATAACTAATTCTATTATGCCGAATGAACGGAAATCGATTAAAAAAGTTTTGGAGCGATTTTGGTCTGAAGCCCTAATTCTGGATAATTACCTCCATGTATATCTTGATATCTTGACAAGTTTTAAAACATCTCCAGTTCCATTATAATTTATTCCGTATAGGAAACCTTAAAAACCCTTACGTTGTAAATTAACCGCATCTGAAGTTACCCGTTTTCGATTACGAACTTTATTTATTTTTCTTAACAAGTTGATTTAAAATTAGGAGTCGATATACCTCTGTACCTACGTACAAAGTTGCAATCTCCGTTGCAGAAACGATTGTTTATTTTTTCCATCCAAGGTTTTCGAATGCACCACGACATGTCGCAAATTGGATATTAGAATTGCCTTCAGCGTTTGAGAAAGTACTGACTTTTAAAACAGTTTCGCAATTTAGGTTAATAAACCTTTCGTAAAGGAACCTATGCACCGTGCATGTGCGTGTGTCTCTACAATTAGATAGTATTTAAACGCTGCTTGCGGAACTGTCATGCGATTGTTATTATAGCAGGCATTTGCCGATTTTATAACTGTAGCGGAACTAGGCGTCTTTGCCAAAGATATTCTCACCGAAGGAGAAACATAGGCTTTAACAGGCTGACAGTTTTAATAAACTTTTCGTATTACCAAATTTACCTTCGCGAAAGCTGAACGGTTAAGTTAGAAATTCGAGAAAGATTATTAAAGACAGTACAACTGTAGGGATAGATATACAGGGGCAAAAGATTAGTATGCTTAGATTTGCATATGATATAGCAGTATTAGTATCTAACAAGGAGGAGTTAGAGATAGCTTTAAATAAAATGGAAGCGGTATTGACAGAACAGTATAAATAAAAATAAAATAAAAATACTGGTATGCAAGGGAAGGAAAAGTAGGGAAAAAGCGAATGTAAAGATAGGAGACGAAGAATTCGAAGAAGTGGCCGACTTTAGGTATCTAGGAAGTCAGATAAGTCAGGACGGAAGGAGTAGTAGGAATATAAAGCAGAGGATAGCGTAGGGTCGTGCCGCCTTTAATAAAAAGAAGTCAATTCTATGCTTACGAACGGTTAATTTAGAAATTCAAAAAAGGTTGTTAAAGGTGTATGTTTGGAGCACGGCGCTGTACGGGTGCGAAACAAAAGAAAAGGTTAGAAGCGTTCGAAATGTGGTGTTACGAGCGAATGATAAGGTACCGTAGATAGAGAAGGTTAGAAATGATGAGGTATTAGAAAGAGTAAGAGAACAAAGGACTCTGTGGAAGTCAATAAGAAATAGGCGATATAGGTTGGTATCTTCTCAGGCATGAAGGTCTAGTCAGAGACATATTAGAGGCAGAAACGGAAGTTAGGAGGGGTAGAAGTAGACCTGGATTAGATTACTGTTCGCAAATAGTTAAGGATATGAGTTGCTCTAGCTTTAGGGAAATGCGAAGATTAGCGCAGGATAGGAAAGAGTGAATGAGATGTGTCCACCCACTTCTGACAACCTTATGATAATGATGATGAGAAAGATTAAAAATATATGTCTGGAGGCGGTGTTGTATGAGTGCGAAACATCGATATGGTGTTACAGGTGAATGATGAGGATACCGTGGATACAGAATGTTAGAAATGAGGAGGTATTAGAAAGTGTAGGAGAAGAGAGGACGCTGTTGAAGTTAATAAGAAATAGGCGAGATGGGTTGGTAAGATACCTTCTCAGACTTGAAGGGCTAGTTAGAGATGTATTAAAAACAGAAACAGGAGTTAAGAGGAGTCGAGGTAGACCTAAATTAGATTACTGTTCACAAATAGTTACTTAAGGAAGTGGAGTTTTCCTGTTTCAAGAAAATACGAAAATTAACTCAGAATAGGAAATAAGGGAAGTGCGTGTCCAACCAGTCTTCGGACTGACAACCTTATGATGATGAAATAATGAAAGACCAATTCTGGGTCAAATAATGCTTTATGTTTATATTGGTAATTGGATTTTGTATTTCTAACATCCTCTTATTCTCTTTTCCCAGGTCATCAGAAAACCGACAGATATTGTAGTTAAGGTTCCACCTCCTTACACGGACCGAGAATCACGTCAGAAATTAGAACAGGTACGTAGGTAATCATTAGTTAACACGAGAAAATAATTTGACATGCTGCTTTATACAAAATAGTCCTACGTATTGTGTTGATTTCCATCTGCAGAAATGTAATTTTTAAAGTCTTTATACAACTGAAAGGAGTTTCCAATGAAAAGAAACAAAGAATGCGAAAGATAACAGCAACGCAAGTCTTCGTAGGGAGGAAGATAATTTTTCAAATTCCAGCTCGTATGAAAACAATCAGTGGTAGTTCTCATATTTCAGAATTGTGTATATATGCGTTTTGTTTTTGTCACTCATTCGTTCGTTCGTTCATTCCATGAGATTGAATTTTCTTCCTGATGAATTGTACGTTTCTCTCCGTTTGTCTTGTTTGTCATATACTACTGTCTTGTTCTTCTATATTTGCGAAAATGTTAGCCGCAGGTACTCGAACAAATTGTTGTTTTCATTGCAATTGTTTTCTCCATATTTTTCCTAATACATCAAGTACACGACAGTCATATTTTGTTTCAGGGAATACCAAATAATGACCAAGGTCTACAAGAACCAAGGCAGAAATATGTTTACCAGTATCAGTAAATATACGGTAGTAAATTTTAAATAGATGTTGTACTATAAAATGCCAATAACTATCCTAACATTTATGTGTTTTCTATTTTGTTAATGTGTGATAAGTTTACTTTTACTAGCAGCCATTTTTAACTAAATAAGTAATTATGTGTAAGTTCACTAAATAAAAATGGTTTAATCTATTGCTTTTTTCTTTTTATACCAGAATACTAAACACTCATTTACGAAGCGCTAACAGACAGTCCACATTATTAACTTCTAATACTGATAACGACAAAAACTATTTATTTACACTAATTATTGAAGAACTTAAAAACACTATTAAATTATTACTAAACTTAGGTTATTAATTATTCTATTTATTTACACTACTGTTGACATATCACTATTCACTGCGCTATTTATTTCACTGCTATCACTATCAATGTATTTCTGGATTCACTTCTGCAACGGTCAATTTAATTCTATTTCTCTCGGCGATCATCTCTTCCTTTAAATACTCTTTAGTTACTTTCGGGAACCTTCTGGAAAACGTCCGGATAGTTTATGATTTCTTTGAACTGTTTAACTGTTTTCCCAGAACGCAGGTACGACACACACATTTACAAATACGGCGCACATGAAGAAAGCCGCCCGCGGCTAGTCGGCGAATCGATAAGCCGTTCACACACACGTGTACCCGACCGCACACAAACACACTCGTGCTCGCTACAATACTACACTTGATTGAGACGATTATGTGGTAAGATTCTCCATAATGACAAACCCTTCACTATTCGAGTTTAATTCTCAGGTAACCAGTTTTATTTTAATTTGGCTTGAAGAAACTGATTGAAGACATGCATCGCTTCTATTAGGGTGAAACTTCATTTGCTCTTAGTATATGTTTACCAATATACAAACAGTTCCTTTCTTCCAGTGGAAACTAAAAATCGAACGCATTAACCTTTCGCAAATTTGACGTTGTTCTCTCGCTACAACGGCGATAGAAAACCGAAGCTAAATAGAATTAGGTTCGTTCTTCAGCTCGGAGGTAGCGATGCAGCATTAGCTGCTTTTTTGGAACGATTGGATTGCAGACGAACAGTAATAGGAAAGAAAAGCAGGAGCTGCCAGAAGCAGCAACAGCAATAACAGACAACTAACGCAATCTCATGTACAAACAAACATGCACTCAGTCAGACAGGGAAAAACGATTGCCACTTCGCTATGTCACGCAACTGAAAGATATTACTTTTCTGTTTGGTTCAATTTCTTTACTTTCATCGGATTACTACGCTTTGAACTAATATGACTGTCTACTGTGTACTATATGTTATAGATATTGTGATTAAAACAGCGATCATTTACAAAGTTCCGATAATATTAATGTGTACTTCGTTTACTTTCTGTAGTGATGTGACCTTCAGTTTAACCGGCGCAAAGTAAAAAAGAATAGCACTAGACCAGAAAAGGAAGGAAACAACTCTCGGCCAAACTCTTACCCGGTGAGAAGCTTATAATCCGTAGAGTACTGCACGGAAAATTTGACCATTTTATCCACTACAATTGCATTGCTCAAATGTGCTGTTATTGGTACATTTACTAATGAAAATATCAACGAGATGTTTATATTTGAAGGCATATTAAAGGCTTTAACGCTTGTTTTCGACTCGCACTACTATTTATGATTGAACAAAACTTTTGACAGGTACTGTATGAAAAAGTATGTTTAATGAATCGAGAGTATAATGAGCTTTTTTCTCCCTACCTACGATTTTGCCAGCACGCATCCAAGACATTGGAAGAGGAACTTCGCTAGAGAAAGTAAATGATGTATAAATAGTTTCGATTATTCATTAGGTCCTTTTGAAATGAGTAAGTCCTTTTTATCAATTCTGTCTCAATAATTACGTCTAAATTGGGTATGTATTATAAATACATAATAATACTAGAATATGTACGTATAACATCATATTAGTACTTTGACTGTAACATTTACATACATATATGATTGTGCTTGCTGCTCTTTTGGGCAGATATTAACGTTGCATTGACTGTATCTAATGAAAAGATTTTCCGTTTTAATTAACTCGGAAATGGCTAGGTCTGAAACGCTTAAGCCGATAAAAAAGTAACGGACAATTAACCACTGAATGTATGTAACATTGCAATTTGATGAGGCAGTTGATGGAAAAGGCACTACATTAGATAGGAAAAATGACAAAAACCGGAGCGTTTTTTCCAGATTGAATAATTTTATTAGTGGAACTATTGCGTATAGTTCCAATAAAATTCTTAAATGTAAAGCTTTTAGAGAGTTATTACCGACAACGTCCGCAGTAACTACGTCGGATGCCCTAACTGTAATTATTAAAATTTTTTGTGGTCCTATAATCAGATATAATGAAGATGGATCCACTAAAACATATATACCAAGTACAATAAAACTTGAAAATGGTAAAAATTAATAGTCTTACTGAACAAGCCTCAACTGTAATGAAGAAGAATGTTCTACTATAACTAGTCCATTTCTTATGTCATTTTTATCCTGTTATCTTCCACTTGTATATCTACAGGGTGGCTCATAAACTACAAATCAAAACGCCGAAATAAAATTTATCCAAACTTAATATATGACAACCATATTGATGCCAAATGTTCATAATATATATACATTTACATATACATTTAAAAGGATTGAATTAGATTAAAAAAGTAGCGAAGCAATTACCATGATTCTTAATACAATTGCTAAAAGTTTACATTTATGTTTTGGTTATAAAAGTCCAATTGTTTAGTTGCTTTAATTGTTGCTATTTGTCTTTTAGACCAAAAGTGCATATTAAGAGAAACGAAATGTGTGCTGGGACACATAAAAGAAGTGAAACTTGTTCAATTTGAAAACCAAACAAAATTTTTACTTGAAGTTTTGCGGACAGGTAAAATTTTGTTGCGATTCGTTTTTCTACTTGTCCACTTGTTTCACTTCTACTGTGTGTCCCAGCACACATATCGTTTTCACAGGTTTACTGAAAATTATAATTTCGTTTTTACACAGACCGCAAATAGAGGCAATTATGCCCAGCCACGTAGAGAGTAGAGGTAAGAAAACAACAGCTGAGCACAGTACACGCCGCCGGGACTCTAGCGGACTCCCCGCTCTCCATGCGGCTGCGCATTATATCCATCTAATACAGCCGTTGCCCTCTC